TGATGAAAAGTAAAATCAATATACAGCAGTATTACATGTCTATAATATACTTGTGAAGTGCTCTCCAGAATTTCAAACGACTCCACTGGACTCCACTGGACTCCACTGGACTCCACTGGACTCCACTGGACTCCATTGGACTCCATTGGACTCCACTGGACTCCATTGGACTCCATTGGACTCCACTGGACTCCATTGGACTCCACTGGACTTCACTGGACTCCATTGGATTGGAGTCCGCTATTTCCCCCTTGAGATTTATATTCCGAATTACATAGACATTATTTGATTTATATTAGCTCCGAACAACGTCATATACATGCCGTGTATCGAGGGCAAATTTTGAGCACCGAGGAATTTGAGGACCTTTGTTCGATGAATAAATCGAAAAGTCCGATTGTTTTGACGACATTTGGTTCTGCATCCCTCGATCCTCAAGTTGCCATGGACTTCCTACCCGCCATCTCTACAGACTCCGTCCGTTGTCTATTCGAAATTATTATAACGGATGAGTGCATGGATATAGGATTCGCTAGGAGCGATGTCATACGAGCGTTTGCAGATATTACTGAATTATCAAATTTCGCGAATGAGAAAGAAGTGCTATTTTCTCTTCTAACGAATTTCTGTGTTAAAGATGTCGGAGATCGAGCAGATGAACAAGAATATGGATGGGTATTGATTACACTTGAACTTATCAATCCTACGAAGGATAACCACAGTTATAATCTTACAAACTTTGCCGAATCCATTGAAGGCGAAAAAAATCCACAGAATTATATCGATGTTGTAAACTTTATAAAGGAGGGCATTGAAAATCAAGAACGATTCAATTATATAACATGGGACAAATGGTGGTCGATTATGGAAAAACAATGGGGAACACATGCAGCACGTGATCAACCGTTACTTTTAACATTATATCAATGTTTTAGGGAAGATAAAGATTATTCTAGAAAAGCAGTTGAAATGCATAAACATCTTTTACGTACTATTCCTAAATTCCAACCAAATCAATTATCATTTTCCAATTTATTGAACACTTTTACGAATTACCAATGCATGCCTACAAAACAGATTGCTGTATTCGAACAATATTTACAATCATTCTGTTTCGAGAAAACAAACAAAACCATACAATGTCTATTTGATGCTGGAATAACTTATGAAAATATTTCTGATAAAGAACGCGCATTCCAATGTTACAAAAAAATTCTTGAACTAGATCAATCTAATGAGTTCAGAAAGCACGATGAAATACAAAAGCGAATCAAAATATTGAAAAAAACTTCTAAAGCAGATCGAATAGTGAACAAGGAACGTGTAAGCGCTGATCAAGATACTAAGAAAGAAGCTGCAAAAATACCTGAAATAAATCAAAGGTCACGATCAAATCGTCGAAACATGAACACTAGTACTGTGCACAAGCTGCCTATTTTAAATCGTATACGAGAACTGAAGAAATGTATTCATGATCTTGACAAGTGGTATGATGCAGCTGACTCAAAAATCATTCTCCGTTTACAAAGTCAACCAAACTCGGACTTTTCGGTTAACGATTATCGGGTTCAGTTTTTCGTTGCTGTGCAAAAACATATATCATTAACTCCTGAGACAATAGACGCAACGAATCATGTTTCTCTTACTCGTTGGCGTTATAAAAAATATATGTATGTATGGATTTCGCTTAAAAAAATGGAAGGAATCTTAAAACTACATAAAAAGAGATTGGAATGCATTAGTGAAGTTATTCTTCCTAGACTTGAACGGTTTCTAAAGAAGTTGACAGTGATGATTGTTACAACTATAGTTTATTTGTGTATCGAACCAAGCACTGAGACAATTAATGTGAAGAAAATGCCATCTTTCGATCTCAAAAAAGCAGAAATGAGTGAACAACCTTGGTTCAAGATTCTTAATGAAAATCTTCTACGTGATATTGAAGCACTTCCAGAAGAGACTTCAACTACTAAATACACTTCTGTCGCTATTCCAGATGATAAAAGGTTCGTTGAAGAGTCATTTGCCGATTTTTTAGCAAGCTTCCCATGTAACCATAAAACGCATATTTGACGCGTTTAAACACGTCTGAAAATAAAAACAGCCTCCAAACGCACAAAAATGCGGTCACCAGATGGTGTTTGAGGGTGTGGGTTTGCGTGTGTGTGGATGTGGGTGGTTGGGTGCGGGTGTGTAGGTGGGTGGGTGCGGGTGTGGCTAATGATCAACTCTTTATCTGCACCCACACCCACACCCTATTAGCTGACCCTTGTCTTGTTAGATGATCAACAAAAAGAATAAATATTATGAAGCAGATTAATATGGATATAAATGTTGAAATTAAAAATCGTAATAAAAACGTTTTGTGGCAACATAAAAAAATCTCATTGACTTATCTTTTGAATAACGAAGTTTTTTTCTTAAAATAATATAAACTGATATAATTTCTAATTTTCTTTTGATTCTAGATATTTTTCTTTCAAAAATATTCTCACCAACTAATACCACATGAAGTTTATCACTTTATGTACATACTCGATAAATATTTAAAATAAAAAGAGTGTTCATAAAAACTTGTTATCAAGGAAAACAATTTTTCGATCTTGACAATGGCTTGAGAGAAGTTTTACTGATAGCTCTTATTAGTATTCTCACAAAGAATGAAATAAGTTTCAGAACAATTTTGAGATTACATGAAACGTATGTCTATTTTTACTTTAACAACCGATTCATTTTGGCGAATTATAACACATACTGTAATCAAGATAGTACAAACTTTTTATCAACTCTCTTTTTTCTTTTTTTTTTCTTTGTTGAAAAAAGGTCCAAGAATCAACATACACAAAGAATAGTCATCTAACTTCTGTCGAAAAATGCTGTATACATTTTTGATGTTGAGTCCATAATCGACATAGGTGTAGTTCAGAGGGATTTCACTCCAATGACTTTTATATGAATGTGTTAGATGAATATTATGGAATTATAATAGTTGATGACATTGTGTCTAAATATTTCTGCACAATTGAGTCCAAAAAAACTCAGTATAGCTACTAAAAAAGTTAAACAGCATAACGATTCGTGGATAGGTGAGTGGCTAAGACCGTAGATAACGCGACGCAGGTTCGAATCCTTTACGAATCCGTTAATTTTTTTAGAATTACATCAAAATCTATTTTCTCATGATAAGTTGTACCAGCTTCATATCTTAGAAAAGAAAATTAATTCATCAAACTGGTTATGAATATCGTATCATTTTATAACAACAACAACAGTGTTCAAAAGTTCCCATTAATGATCTTTTTTTTTTGGCTATTCGCTAATAAAATGGTATAGTTCTTCGGTTAGATGAGATGGATCGAAAGATCAATTAATTGATTAATCTAAGATGAATAAACGAAATCATTTCTAAGTGATCAAACTGAAAATTCTCTAAGTATTGATTTTTCAAAAGAAAAAACCGATTTTTGAATTTAAGAAAAATTAAAAACAGATTAAGACAATAGAGAAGGATTTGATTTTCTAATATATGGCTGAATGTAAAAATTTATAAAAATTTTCATTATATAATTGAATCTTTAAATAATTTTTTGAAAAATGAATTAGCAGTGCAAAGAATACTATGTGCTCTTGTCAGTATATGTATAGACATTTTTTCTTTTCGTTCTGTCGTAAGCGTACATATATATGTATATGTCGGAGTTGACTTTAAAATTCAGTTGCCTTTAAAAGGCAACTAGATTTTATAATGAAATGCGACACTCAACTAGTTGCTGTTGAGATAGA